TGATGCTGTAAAAGGAACCATATGAAAGCGAAAAATCATATAGCATATTGAACAGTGTAAAACTGATCTATTTTCATTCACAATTAACGAAGAGGCTCAAATATACCTCACAAACACAATTCTAATCCCTCCCCTACGTCAGCCTTTAATAAAATGTAACCTTACCACCAGTTTCCAAACGTTCATAATAACCGTTTCACTTGGTCGAGTGATAATATTGTCTTTGCTTTCGCTCTCAGCCTGGTTGTTTCTTTCTCTCTGGAAACCGCTGTTTTGATGAAGTCTGTATAACTGGCCCACAGGGTGAAGTGAGTGCGGTTTTTGGCTGTTTACTTCAGACGAGCTTCTCTTCACGGGCCATTACTGAGCGCCTCTCACTGGGATCGCTACAATTTAACCATGAAATGTGAAGGGAAAAAGTGTCAGGATCACAAGAGTGTATATGATGGTGGGAATACATGTGGGGAAGAGGTCAGTCAAGCTTGTTTGGGGCTGATTTACAAGCTTCAAATGGTCGAATTAAGCGCCGGTGAGAAAAAGGAAACTTCAGAGCTCCAGTTTATGAATGAAGCCTAGGCCTACTTAATAATGCTAATTGTAGCCTAACACTTGACAACAACGGGGAAATATACTTGTATGTTTCCTACAGGGGTCAGTATTCAGATTGCTTTTATTCTCACTCCTGTTTCAGTTTTACAAGGGCCTCAAAGCCTTTACAGACAGCCTGCTTCAGAGTTCCTTACTCATGTCAACACCTATAGAAAACAGAACATAGGCAGAAGGTGCAGAAGCAGCTATGCGTGATCTTGTTGTCCTCCCAGATAAATGAGTGCAAATGGTAATGACGTTCCATAGCTGTGATCCACTTCATGAACTCTGAGGAGAAAAAAAAAGTTGAGAAAGAAAGCAAGATGTTTTTTTAGGTGAGGATTATTGAGGAAAAACAAAGCTGCTGAGCAAAATTTGCACAAAATGAACATGTACACTCATTGTAAATATATAGGCTCTTGCGTAACAATGTAAAATATTTAAATATATAATAATATGCCATTATATGAACCTACTGTTTTTAAAGAGTGCCTGTTTTGATAATGTTGATTTCTTGGCTTGGATGTGAAGTATGACTTAGAGAGCAAACTCACAGAAATAGGGTATATGCCGAGCTAGTGCTGTTCTCATGCTGATACACTTCCGGTGACCTGTTATTGTGAACTTTTTTCCATTTTATACGGTTTCTTATACAGCATCGATGTTGTAATGTTATTAAAATACATTCAGTTAAATAAATTTTAGCATTTATTTAGTTGCTCAAGCGTAAAATGAGACAAAAAGCCGTTAACTCGCACGCGCCCGTCAGAATCGGCAGGCTAATGCAGAAGCTCCATTGAATATAATGGGGTAAAATAAATGCTCATATAATAAAGATATGGTGGGGGAAATGTAATTTAATGCAGTGCTTCTTGTACAATCTGAGATCCACTTTAAATCGGATATCACTCAGCTGGTGGAGATCGCTGATTTTTAAAGAAAACAGACTTAAAACGCACCGGATTTTGCTTTGCCATTCAATTCGCCGGAAGCGCTTAACCCAGGTTAATGGCAAATTAAAACTCCTATTAGCATGCTTCGGCATATACCCCATTAGACTCATTTTGATATGAAGAAATGGTTTGTTTTCATTGCATGCAGGGCTTGACATTAACTGTTTTGATCACCAGCAACTGTGGCTAGTAGTTTTCCAATGTACTAGCCACTTGGTATTTTCACTAGCCACAATTTTGCCAAAATTTATATGCATAAATTTGACTTTGGCATCCTAATATTACTTGATTAAAAATATGTGTTTTGTCCACATACTTTTTTTGTGTGTGTTGTGACCTTTTTTCTAAGTGTTGCATTGCAATTAGTTTTATTTCACATGACTTTTTAGGGCTCAACACCACGGGATTTACCAACTTTCTCTCTAGCCACACCAAACGAATTATTTCCTTGCCAAAAATGTTAAATAATGTGTAAAAACAAGCAAAATATAGCTTTTTATTCAACAAAAATGTTCTTAAAAATTTACCTTTAAAAAAAATATTTTCATGTATCTTAAACTAGTCTGTCCTGGCTGCAGGTTCCATGATCACCAGTTAACTATAAATAAATGAAGTTATTCCAACGCAATCTCACAGCAATTCGTAACTTTTTGATTTAGTGGCTAATTTGTATGAATTCATACAATCTAATTCGTGCAATTTAGTACGATTTACTCATCACCCAATGACTGTTGGGATTAGGGGTGGGGTTGGGTGCCACGCCTCCTATTTAAAATCGTACATTTTCATACGACTGAACTCGTACGAATTAGCCACTAAACTGACAAAACGTAAAACACTTACGTTTCCTTCTGAGATCAGGCTGGTTAATCTCATATTAAAGCAATGTTATTGTAAAGGACGATAATTAATAATTTTATATTAATAAAAATAACTAAGCAAAAGAAAACGTGCGCATACGGTTAACGTTAGGTCCATAAATAATCAGTTCAAAGAAGTGTTAAAGTGAAAGTCGGCAACCGACTGTGGATGCACAAGCACTACTTTTTCCCAGTCTATTTTAAAGAGAATTGATCACACCAGTTGCGTTTTCAGGCACAGTTGCTTTGCGCAAGGAAATGGGACACGGAAGCTTTTAAGCCCTGGTCCGAATCACATCAGCTGTGCGCGCGACACACAAAAGCCCTAGTCAATGAGTTAAGATTGTCTGTGTCTCATTGTGCGCCTGATCATCCTCTCGTTCGCTATTCACCTGCTTTCATTTGCTGACAAATGGTCTTAAACTAACATTCTAATCTTTAGTGAACAGCCAGCACTGGCAATTAAAAAATTATTTTAACCAGCCAAAGTGGCTAGTGGGGGTGTCTGTCTAACCCACTACAGATGAAATTTACCCACATTTGGTAGGTTGGTGGGTGTTAATGTAAAGCCCTAATTGCATATGTTCATAAAAGCCCCAAATCTCAACAATGTGTGTGATATTATTATAATCATGATAACAAAAGGTTAATGTGTACGCATGTATGCTCTATTAAGTCAACTAATTTTTAGTTAAATATCACAGCAGTTATGCTTCATATACTGTACACTACTGTAAATGAAAAAGATGGAGTTTACCTTGAATTTCGGGATGAATCCCTGGCATGCTGATGTCACTTTAGATTTGTTGTTTTATCAGCTTTTTCCTCCCCATATGGTTAACAGTCTATTTGTCTTGGCATCAAGCGTGAATCTTCTTTTACTCTTACCTGTTGCCATCTCATTATAGTTTGATCAGACAGACAGACGCCCTTATGGATGATGATGATGCAATCGCATTGTGTACTGTGGATCAGATCCTTTTTAAATGTGTGTGTGTGTGCATCAAGCATCACACACTAAGATTAATTCTGATTGGATACTTACCAAAACACATCCCTCAATCACATTCTCGTCTCGTTTTTATTAATGTCAATGAAAATGTCAGTATATTTTTATTATAGTTGTTGTCATCATCTCTTAATTTTTATTTAGTTTTCACCTAGATTTCGTCAGTGGAAAGTTGTTTGTCATAAAAATTATGACGAAAATGTTTCGTCAATTAAATTAACACAGCTACGATGTTATGTTCTCTATGCATAAATTATTACTGTGATGACAAAGTCGAAACTGTTACGTCCATTTCCCGCTAACATTTACATGTAAGTGCTGTTGAGCACGTTCTTAAACAGCGCTGATTTGTTGTTGTGTTCATGTGCTCAACAGAAATGACTGTGATTAGCCATGAAGGTTATCAGTTCACCAAACACACCGCTGTTTACTGAGTGTAAACACAGATACAGAGACATTGGAGTGTTTTAAAGTCACATCGATCAGCTGGTTTGTCTATAAGCTGAAATATGAGTGATCCGCTGATGAATCATGGCTTAAAAATGCTTCAGTGTCCCTGTATCTGTGGTTGCACTCGGTAAACATCGGTGAATTCAGCCTATCCCAGTCTTTTCTGTTGAGCACGTGAACACAATAGCACATCAGCACTGCACTCTAAAAAATATAGTTTAGACAAAACAAAAAAAAATGTACGTAACAGTTTGCTTTAATATATTCAAGTTACGACAACGTCTAAAAAAAGTGGTTCAGGCAACAAGTTTTATTATGTTAGCCAAATCTTTTTCTCTTCAATCAGAGGCATTCAATAAACTCTAAAATAAAAAAAATTAAAGTTAAATTAAAAAAGTCGAGTACTCAAAAAAATAAGTTGTTTCAAATAGTATTTTGAAAACAAATCCAGTGTCATGTGCGTAATTACATGCATGTTTTCAAGTTTAGAACCTCAAATAAATTAAGTAGCTGTAATTTTTATTGTTTTGTTTGTTTTCAAATTTACTGTTCATGTTTGTATGAAATACATTTAACAACATTTTTGTTTTACTGAATTTTTTTTTGTATAAACTACAGGTTTTTATTGTTTTACAAAACAAAAACATGTACTGTCCCATATTATCAGTATAAAAAAGAACAAAAAACATCAGTGTGTGGACTGAAAAATACAAAACAACTCCATTAGTGTGGAAAAATTGAGATATCAACCCAATTTCTTTGGGTTGCTACAAGTTAAATATTGTTTTAAAGTATTATTTATCTTTAAATTATCCACATTTTTTAAATCGATGTCATTTAAATTATTGTAATTCAATATTTTTCTGTTTTGAAAACTTTATAAAATGATTCTGGCAATTTAAAAGTTTTAATCTAATCAGCATTTTAGATTTTTTAAGTTACAATAATGTATTAAACTATGTAGTGGTACAGACCCCTCGACTTATTTTTTAGAGGGTGTTTAAGAATGCGCTCAAATGTTTGCAGGAATTTGACGTTTTTAAACCTTCAGTATCGATTGGTATCGAATTCAAGTATCATGACGACCCTTAATGCAAACTAGTTAAATAGCAGACAAAAGACACGTTCAGAGTGACCAAATTACAAAAAATGTACATCTTTTATGTTATAAAAATAGAAATTTCATACAGTGAAATATATTCAGCCTTCTTTCCTCAGCGAGTATACAGTTAAATAGCAGTCATTCTGTAATATTTACACCATCAGTTTTTTCAGTTCTTGTATTGTTTACTGACAGTCTCAAACCGGCCAATCGGGATTTTTTAAGTTCCGAGGTAATTTCCTCTTCCTGCTGCTCTTGGGAGGGCTCTGGGATTTGTAGTCTTCGCCGGATCCGAAGTCCAGGTTCTCCGGTGTGTCTCTCCAGCTGTCCGGGGCAGATGGGAAATCCTCAAATGAAGAATGTAACGGTCTGCTGAAGACTTTACTCTGCAGCTCAGCGATGTCGTTACGAATGTCAGCCATCATGAGTAACAGGAAGTCAAAGGATCCTGGTGGGCCCTGAAAACACCATCACACACAAGAGTAAAGCAAAAGCACACTGGGCCTGCACAACATATCGTTTTAACATGGATATTGCAATGTTTGCATTCGCAACATCGCAGGGTGTGCAATGTTGAGTCCGAATTATAGTTGACCAGGAGCTACAGAATTGCAGTTAATCACTGTATTTACATGGAATTTATACAATGTTTTTTTTTTTTTTTAATTCAGGATTTTTGTCTGGTTTCAAGTCCAAATATCTACATTTCAAAGTCAAAACAAGATCATTTTACCTCCCCCACTGGCAGACAATTTAGCTTGTTTTAGGGAAAAACTTAATTTTAAGTTTTGATTTCTTCTGAAGTTAAAAACAAAACAATATTTTTACATGATCAAAGAATTTTTATAAACATTTGAACTAGAAAGGAGACAAAGTAAGAAAAGAATAACATGTTCCTGCACCCGAACACTGGTAGACTCCCCAGAAAACCTTCACAGGAAAATCTTGTGAAACTGTATTCATATTATAATATTTAGTAACAGAAAAATCAAATATTGCAATGTTGAATTTGTCCAACATGATGGATCCCTGAAGCACACTGGTAATATTTGAGACACATTTTTAGCAAAGTCTGTGCTTCTATTTGTTTAATTTAATGAGTTTCTCCTCCAGTCCTGTTTATTTAGCTTTAAAAAAAGAAGCCAAGTCTTAAAAAAAGTTTGTGAGTTCCAGTAACTTATTACACTTGTATTATTATTATTATTTGTACACTAGAAGTTTAAAATTTGAATAAATTTCATATTTATTCTAAAAGTGCAACTGAGCACATAAACAAAAAAGACTATAAAGACTTTTTAATTATTTTATGATTTATTTACATCAGGGATCACCAAACTTGTTCCTGGAGGGCTGGTGTCCTGCAGATTTTAGCTCCAACCCTAATCAAACACACCTGAACAAGCTAATCACAGTGTTAGGTATACTTGAAACACGCAGGCAGGTGTGTTGAGGCAAGTTGGAGCTAAACCCCTGCAGTGCACCAGACCTCCAGGAACTAGATTCGTGACCCCTGATTTACATGATAGCAAATTGGAAACTACATCAGCCATTACTTCATTTTTCAACATCACATAATGCTTAAGGTTACTTAACCTATCACCAATGTAATCTGAGCTAACTACAATGTAACACAATGTAACTTGATGTACAAATGTATCCCCTGAAAAGTATTTATGAAAGCAGTATTTATTTATTTAGTATAATTCTCTTATTTTATAAAAAATTATATATTATCATTATTTTTTTATTATTATTCTCTCATTTATATGTGGTAAAATTAATTTCGAAGGGGTTGTTCCGAAAAAAAAATTGAAAATAAAAAGTTTAAATAAATAAATAAATAAACAAATAAATAAATTTAATTATACAGTGTATTTTTTATATTACTATTAACTGCTAACTTGATTAGTAAGTAATTTTTTATATATTTGTTTCATTTTTTATTATTTTAAACAATTCATTCTTATATAATTTCAAATAGATATTTATGTCATTAGCATTTTAATTCATTATATATTTGTATTATATACTGAACTAAATGTATTATGTATGAATGTATGAATAGTTTAATAAATATAAACACCAAGCAAAACACAATAATACAACAACTATATTAATAACAACAACAACAACAATAATAATAATAATAATGATAATTATAATAACGACAATAATAATAAAATAACAACAACAACAACAACAACAACAACAACAACAATAATAATAATAATAATGACAATAATATAATAATAATAATAATAATAATAATAATAATAATAATAATAATAATAATAATAATAATAATAAATATTTAGGGTAAAGATCCAAAACAGCTGTGAAATGTACAATAATAGTCACAATAAAGTATTCATGCAGGAACATTTCCACTTTCTGTTCACAATTACAATCAATAGCCATTTAAAACTGAATTCAATTATACTTAAACATTAAATATTGTTTTAAATTATGCACATTTGCATGTAAAAAGTTGTGCAGTATCAGGTGTATATCAGCTTTAAATACAATGGCACACAGTTCAGAAGGGTTGGAACAGGTTTTCGTGGTGTTTTGATGAAAAACAAAACGTGCTTTGAGAGAGACAGACCAATGAGACAGATGAAGAGTGATCAAAGGTAAGAGCGAAAGTTTGAACACACACACTAACATGTAGCAGACATAGGAAGCATGAGAGAAAGTGCCACAATAAGAGGATCTTACTGGAGGTCCGGAAGGGCCGGGAAACCCTCGCTCTCCCTAGAGAAAGCAAACAAATATTTGGGTTAGCAGGATTACAGTAAAGAAGCCATGAGAAGTCTGACGGGACAGTTACTGCCCACTATCTCTCAGTAACACAATCACACGAGGGAAAATAAACTGACTATCAGACGTCTCTCCCTCATTCAGACCCGTAGACAGTTATTAGATAAATTTTTTCAATAAATGAAATATAATATAAATTCAAGCCACAGGCTTACAGCAGCAGAACTTATCAAATGCTGCACAATGTTGCCCGATTTTGTTTTATTAAGCATAGAGTTTTTGGGCTTGTTTTTAATGCATAAATGGATAGTTCACCCAAAAATAAAAACTCTGTCATTATTTACTCTCGCTTCACTTGTTCCAAACCTTTAAGATTTTTTCTTATTCTGAAGAAAACTTTTTGAAAAATGTTGCAACTCTGAAACCATTGACTTTCATGGTATTTCTTTTTCCTATACTATGGAATACAATGGTTACCGTTTTTTATTTTCTTCAAAATATATATTTTGAAATTAAAATACTGTAAATAAAACAAACAAACAAACAAGCAAGCAAGCAAACAAACAAACAAACAAACAAACAAACAAACAAACAAAAAATAAATAAATAAATAAAAGTTAAAATAAAAAGGTTTGTAAGCACTTGAGGGTGAGTAAATGGTGTAAATTTTCATTTTTGGGTGAACTATCCCTTTAACTGTGACAACATTAATAACATAATTTTATGGAATTATTATATTAAAGTGGGAAGATGAAGATTGGGCTCAGGGATTGCGTATACTATTTAAAATAAAATACAAGATTTGATCTTATTTTGATAGATTCTTTGTTGGATTGCCGTGATTGTTTGCATAGCAATATCTCGCAACATCGCCAGTTCTTAAACTGATAGGTAGCAATGAGAAAAGTAGGTTGCGGGTATATTATTGCCCGCATTATTGTGAAATGCAAAATACGATGTATGCAGTTATGTAGTGAACTGTAGGAAACTGATCCTTTATTTGTCGATAACATGTCTTTGTAAATATCATTAGTGTGAAAATGAATGAGTTGTTAATATATCAAATATTGGCTGAAGCATGTATTTCCAGTGAGCTTTTATTTATATTATCTTTACTGATCAGTCAGATGGCATTAAGAAAGTGGAAAGATGAAGGTTGGGGTAAGTGATTCTGTATAATCTTGTGAAAAAAATTTGATGATTTAACGTATTTTACTGCATTGCCATAGTTACACCTGTTTCACAGCGCAAGCAAAGCGTGAGCAGCGCATATGGAGAGCAGAAGAGATATTGTTTAATATTCAGCTTAAAGTGACATTTAAAGCCTTAATTGGGTAATTAGGCAAGTTGGGTATGGTATAACGATGGTTTGTTCTGTAGTTTATTAAAAAAAATGCTTTAAGGGGCTAATAATTTTGACCTTAAAATGTTTTTAAAAAAAATTTAAAACTGCTTTTATTGTAGCCGAAATAAAACAAACAAGACTTTTTCCAGAAGAAAAAAATATTATCAGACATACTGTGAACATTTTCTTGCTCTGTTAAACATAATTTAGGAAAAATTGAAAAAAGAAAAAGAAAAATTCACAGGATGGCGAATAATTTTAACTTCAACTGTTTGTACAATTTTTAACCTCCCCAAACCCTGGCCGTGTTTGCAAATCAATCTCTACTTAATGCTATTTAGCTGGTATATGAAACCAGAAGAGTTTATTCAACATCAGAGTGCATATAAATGTTATCTCAACAGCTTTTCTGCACCATTTGGACTGGTCTATAGCTCATTTGGGGTGAGGTATGGCAGTAGGTACCACACAGACGGCCGTTTGGAGATGTTGACCCCTCTGTGGGGATTACGGAGGGTCAGGGTTCACACAGAGGTACAAAAGTGGCCCAGATGTTTTTGATTTGTGAATACAAAGCCAGAAAAAACACGCTATACATGGATCAACCTTGAACCCTGAATCAACCACATGTTGAAAAACAAACTAAATTTCTTTGGAAAAGCATGGGTATGTATAGGGGTTCAACTGAGGCTTGAAACATATAGGGCAAATACATGTAGATTACTGGTAAAGAGTATGGAAAAATTAAGAATTGTTTTAAAAAAGAAGTCTCTTTTGCTCAAATTAAAAAAATGCAACGATGTTGTAAAATTACAATAATATTGCTAACACAAAGAACTGTTTTCCATTGTATTTTTACATTTTGATTTGTTCTGGTGGTGATAAATTAACTAGTATTTATTGAAATATGCTTAATTAGTGTTTAAGAAACTTTTATTTTTCATTTTGGTCTTACTAAATGTCCTTAACTAATGTTAGTGGTGGGCAAAACGAGGCTTCATGACACACTAAAACAGTCGAAGCAAATGTGTCGAAGCTTCAAAACATTTAAAAACGCCACTCTACAGTGACACCTAGTGGTCATTGATTATGTATTGCACTGGTACACCTTCAGCAAAGAAACAATTAAGCAAATTGAGGTATTAAACCCCATGCAGTTGAGTTGAAGTTTAAGTGATTTAGTGAAGTGGTGAGAGTTCCAGACTAGCATGCAGAGATAATGAGTTAGAATCCAGGTTGATGTAGCTATAGATTTTATTTTTAAGTGCTCTGTTCTTGTGTTGTGTTTTAACATTGGTCTGACATCTGACTAATCACTTTGTGAATACATTTGTCTTGTTTTGGTAATGAAAAAGTAACATTATTAAAATACATCATGTCATAATTTGAAAATATTTGAACAAGTCGGGATTCAAACTCGGCCATTTGCAGCACTCTATTTACATGCACGGTCCACTAGGCTACATAAAATAGAGTTTTTTTTCCCAACCCTGTCAGTCAAACGTAGATTCCCCAGGTCTCAAAACGCTTCTGAAATAGCCAATGCTTTGATTTGCTTTAGTCACGGGACCTGGGTGTTTCGGATCATGCAGTGTTTCAAAACACTTGTGCTTCAGGATCTCGTGTCGAAACGTTAGTATCTCTTCAGCCATCCCTAACTAATATTTACTTACACTGAAATAAAAAAATCAGTAAAATATACTTGCTGTGTAAATACCTGTTTTTACATTGTATTTGTGCTTGAATAAATACTTATATGTAATTACATCAGCAATCAATTTCTGTAATTACGCTTACTTTTGACCATTCCTTACACCTTAACCATCTCTAAATCTACCCACACCACCAAACCTGTCACTTGGGAGGGAACCTTTGTCTCTTGTCATGGCTCTGTCTTTCTGCGTGACATATGTGTGCCTTTCCTGTTCTCTGGTTCGCTTTAGTTTTTTTTTTTGTTTTTTTTTTGAGTTGTACATCTATTCAGAAAGCCCAAGCTAAATTTGCTTAAATCTACTAAAAGGGAAGTGAACGTGAAATACGTCACGTGACATTTTACACACACGTAGGTAATTCTGTTGATCCATTAGGTGAGAAGCGGGTGCTACTCTTTGTCTGTTTTTTCCAGCGAGTCCAGGTTAGTGAGGGTCATGTGACGTCGAAGAAGTTTTTTTCTATTTTCAGATTTTGATTAATTATATAAAGGTGGGGAGTTTTTAGTTAGAGGGTGTTTCATTTGTTATTTTCTTTAAATTGGCACAGCTTATTTTCCTTCCCTCTATCAGGTTTGATTCAGTTGATTTGGTTGCTTATTTTGCATTGATTGTACACATTTGTAAATATACTTTGATTGATTAAATATTCTTTTTTTCTTTGTTTTTTAATTCCCACTTTTTGCCATGTGTGTCGATACATAGCAGCTAACATCTCAGGGGAATTTTACAAATATTTGGGTTATAATAATTATGTTTAGCCCTTATGCATTATGAATTCATTACATACAGTATATTTATATTTTGAAAAAAACAAAAAACAAAGTAGTTAGGAACACTTAATATAAAACAGGACTTTAATTTTTAAAGTTGTTTTTCATATTTTAATATGCATCTTGTTATTACATATCTATATATGAACATACACGTATGAAAATATAAGGTGCGTCCCAAATCGCAAATTTTACACCCTTTTGTAGTATAGTTAGTAGCACGCTTACACTGAAAACTCTAAAAATAATAAGTGCACTTTAAATACCCGGATGATGCACTCACTTGACCGGTAAAATAAAGTGTTGAATGATGGACACTTCACGCACTCAACGACAGCAGGTTTGCTCATGTAGTGGAAGGGGCGGAGCTATCAGGCGCATTTATTTTGGATTGTGAAAGCAAAATTCTCCTATGAGAGTGATTATAGCGCCTCCCAGTGAAGAATGCGGCAATACTCACGACAGGTATTATTTGGTACTTTGTTTATTTATTTCACTAATTTGGTAACAGTCAACTTTCATCTGGGAAACTGGTTAAATTTCCAAATGGTAAAAAAAAATTTAGTGCTTCATTTGGGACGACACTACATACATATACTATGCTATTGAGTGTTTAAGTGCATAAGTACATTGTGCATGAGTGTATAGTGTGCCATTTGGGACCCAGCTATAGACTACCTATAGACTTTATATGGAATATTTTTTTAATTTTTCTGGAATTATTATTCACGTATTTCAGTAAAATATAATTCTTTGAGCATTTTTTTGTATAAAAGCTTCCATGTTTTTAGAATTTGTTTATAGTCATTTTTAAACACCCCAATACCCATGTTGTAACTTCATAAGCTTTAAGAAAGCAATATGTAACCCACCGGTCCTACTGCACCCAACCCGGTCTGAGCTGGGATCGAACCGGCAATTCTTTGCATAGGAGTCAGTTGCTCTAACAAGGAGGCTGAAGCCCATGGCCCCTAGCATCTGTTGCTAGAGCACCTTTTGAGGTCAGAGGAGTGAGGGTTACCTGCATAGCACTTTGCTAGCTGGCCTCTGTTACACTCACCCCCTCTAAACCTCACTCCCATCCCAAACGAGCCCCTACATGTAACCCTGAGCTGGGATCAAACTGGTGGTTTTTTGCATGGGAGTCAGTTGCTCTAACAAGGGGGCTAAAGACCATGGCCTATTGCGTCTGCCTAGCTGGCTTCTGTTACAAACATATGGGGGAATAACCTTGATTTTCAATCACAACAAATGAAAAGATTTCTTAATCCGACTATCATTTTCTAAAGCAAAAAAAAGAAAAGAACCTTTTATTTTCAACACTTTTTCAACATTTCAATTCAATGTATCCCATTGCTATATATCTTAATATTTTCTTGCTTAAATCAAAATGTGCATGACAATGTTTTCAAGGGAATAAACAGCCAAAAAACTAAATAAATAAATACATGTAGTAAATTCTGGCCTCTTAATTATTCCTAACGTTTGACTGACAAGTGTATATGTGAACGCAGATTGGTTTTGTTGTTTTAAATGTCTGAACACACAATTCATAATGAAACAAGTGTGTTCTGCATTATCAGAGTTGCTTTAAATGACCCCAGATTGGATTATCATGTGAAGTGTTTACACCTACTGTCAGTTGTTTTTCCCTGTAGATCAATTACAGTCCGAGTGGGACAATCAATCTGGTTAAAGTTAGTTAAACTGTTGACATATTTATAGCTAGCTACCTGAATAAGAACATCCGGATTAATCTGCAGTAATGAAAAGTCCATGTAACATGTTTGGGTCAAAGGCCAAATGCTGTTTGCAAGCATCAAAACAAGTGAAATACAGATTTTTTTTGGTCTCTGTATATTAGATTGATTATTTTTTTCATGCATTGTTCATCATACAAAAGTATAATGTCAATATATTAAATATTCAAATCACAGTGCAGCACCAAAACAAAAATTTATTAACATTTTAAATCTTTATTTCTTTCCACTATCATTCAAACCACTATGTTTTACCTATTTGCCAGAAAGATGTTTTTGTTTAATCATTTAAAATGAGTTGCAGTTCAGCATGTTTACTTATTTTGATCTACACTGAATAGACTTTGTAAAATAATAAGTCATACATCTTTACACATATTAATCTTTTACCATGAAAGTTTTATATGCCTGCATTTAATATGGTTCTTTGTAAAAATAAATAAATAAATAAAAAAACATAAAAAAGTTTTATAACACTCTTGATCCATGTCTTGATCCAAGTTCTTGATCTTTGTATCTAGGCTTTAAGGTTTAAGTAACCTACATTACGACTAGAATAAAACCAACCTTCTAGTTTACCACAATAATTTGACATAAAAGTAAGAAAAACAGTGGATATTGACTATTGTATTCGGTTGTAATGAGTTCCAGTTAAGCTTTTTGAAGATAATGTAAATCTCAGGTTTTCCCAAAATGCGTCTGTGAAGTTTGGGCTCAATAAATCTTATGAATTAAGTGTTAAATTACGCTGTAAATATTTACCTTTTTTTTGGAAGAAGCAAAGAACATGCTATATGACAGATTTAAATGTGCTTTTGATCCAGAAGGTAGAAATTTTAGCAAGTTGAAATTTTTAATGTATGTTTATTATTATTATTACTACTATTATTATTATTAGTAGTAGTAGTAATAGTAGTGGTATTAGTAGTAGTTTTTTTAAAGTTATTATGAAGCATGCTGGGATGTGTTTTTTTAACATTCTTTATCATATATTTTTTGTGATTTTGTTTTGTATGATGTGTCATGATGCTTCTGCCCTAATTGAATTGCCCCTTTCGGGATTAATAAAGTTGTCAAACTTAAAACTTTTTTTGTGTGTCTCTTTAAATGCAAATGCGCTGCTGCTGGCCGCCCCCTTTCCAAAAGTGGGTGTAGCCTTTACAGCTTGCGTCTTTGTGATGCTGTGTTCATACCAGACGCGATATGCGCCTATAAATTGTGCTATTTGCATGTAAATAGACGCGTGCCGTGAACATTAAGCTTACTTGCTTCATTCGCTCTTCAAATCCAATTAATTTAACACAACAGACGCGGATTCGTGTTATGGGTGGGGCTTCTGTCTGCCCGGTGACTCTAGCTTCGTTGCTAAATGGCCAACATGCGTTGATTTGTTTGGAGCTGTGTCTAAGTACAATTCTGTGTCGAATCCATTCAGAGGTGCACCCAGTTCTGTGAGTTCATAAACTCCTCCAGATACTGTACCTGGATGATGGAAGTTTTCAGCAGTGCTTCCGACTGAGCCAAGCCCAGTTTGATGAACTGTTGTCCGGTGTCGGCAGGAGGATTTCCCCTCGGGACACCAACAACAGGCACTTCATTACATAATGAAGGTCCTACATAATCACTCCCCTACATGAGAAAGCTCCTGATTGGTTAATGTGGCGCAAATGTCAGCAGAAGTTCAGATTTTTTAAACTCGAGCGATTAGTGCTGAAAGTGCGATACACGTGATTATTAAGCTTAATTATTTTAAATGTTGTTAAATACATACAACTTTATGCTAAAAGCAAAATAAACACAAAAGTTGCCATAAAGTTGGTTCTCTTTATGTGTATTAGGTCTGTGAAACAGTGTAAATTGGAAACGGAAACAATACAAGACTATATTATTCAATTTCAGGGTATTGTGATGTGTTTGTGGTGTTTAAAAGGAGTTCTGAAACATTGCTTATTGATATAAACTCACTTTAGGGTGAATTTGTCATGAAAAATGTAAAGGTTAACATAAAGACCTGTTTAAATAAAACCCCTTTAATTTTATTTGTAAAGCATGAGCTAGATCACATGTCTCAGTTTGGAAGTATATGACAGTTCTGTGGAAAGATTCACCAACAGACAGTAATATAATAGTGTGGTATGATAAATATGATAATATAAATCTATGAATAGCTTTGAGATCCTATGATTAGCTATGGTGTATTGTGAAATGTCTCAGTGTAACTATCGTCAATATTTAGACTAATCAAATTTGCCATTTCAAGAATGTACTAATGGTGTTTTGACATTCTCAACTATCTGCAATTCGTCACGCCACCTATGATGTCATATTTGAACATTTTGGGCTTTGGTCACTGACCCCGAAGCCATCCAAGAGTTTAATTTTATTAGTGATCAGTCACCATTGATCTTAAACATCTTCATCCTGTTTTCCCAAATATTTGCATTCCACGGATGGAAAACTGCCCTCAGCCAAGGCTTCAGAATTACAAAGAAAAGAGATAAAGATAGAAAACATACCGTACCTTCATGCCATCTCTCCCTGGAGCCCCAGGAGGACCCTGAAAACACACACACAAAACATCCCAATTAAACACACACCAAACATACACTGTAAAAAGTGAATAGTTGACTTTACTTAAAAAAAGAGAGTAAACTTGTCTTATGATTATTGAGTGGACAAACTGTTTGCATAATTATAAAATTTAAGTAAATGGATGATTTTTTTTAAAAGTAAAATCAACTTGTTGCTTTTAAGGCAACAGGTTTACTCACTTTCTTAGTAAAGTAATCACTTGTAATCACAGTGTCTCTGTTAAAAAAACAAAACTATTAAAAGACGAATAAATTATTATAAATGGTAAACATTATCAATGGCCAATTTCTCTTGTCCATATGCTTAACAAGAATATATTTTAAATATTTTTTAATCACAATTTTTTGCCATCAATAACTCACAAAACAACAGCATATACTGATAAGATAATGAGATAAGATAATCAATATAAGATAATCAATTCAGGTTCAGATAATGAGCTTTATTCAGTGTTAAAATGTGAGTTTAAACACAATTTGATGTGACATTTATTGCCACACTACTGAAAGCAGCTGCAGATAGTTCACATCCGATCTTGAAAATGACTAGCAGACTGTTCAGAACTGTGACTCAAGTGCAAATCATCAACATCAGTCACTCAGTAGCCTATTAATAATGTTGAAGAGGTTTATTATGCATTTCAAATGTCTCTTTGTTATCTTCAAAATTAAATTTGTTGCCATTGTAACTTGGAACTGTTAAGCTGACTTCATTTTTATAATTATGCTTGTTGTACTCACTTTTTTTTAAGTCAACTAATGCTTTTTTTACAGTGTTAGACTTTTAGCACGTCTGTTTTCAAATAATTACTGCAATTATTACAGAATTACATATTTGGTGCTTCATTAAGTCTAAAAAACTCTACAATTACAGCCTGTGATGAATTTAGAAGACTGAAGTCTGGATTTAAGTTACTGTCATTTTGCTAGATACAGAAAAGCTGAATATATATATGTACAGTATATATATATATACATACATACATATATATAAATATATATATATATATATATATATATATATATATATATATATATATATATATATATATATATATATATATA